TATATTTATGTTCAATTTTTTGAACAATTTAATTAATGATTTAAAATGATGATCAAAAATTGTGTTGAAAGAGTATTTTAATCTTCGTGATCACGTAGTATGTAGTATGTACTTCAATTTTCCTGTAAAATCTCTTTGTAACATATTGCATGTTTTTATCATTTGTAAGCTGTAACGAATTCGTTTCTATCTAATATTTTTCTACTATACAAAAAACTTTAAGATAGATACTTACTTACATATTATTTGCATTCCCCATTTGTAATTTTTAATTAATTTAGTTTCGCTTCTTTTTCTCTGGGGCCCACTTCTTCTACTGTCTTTAGATTTGCGTTCTTTGTACTAAATAACGATTAGATTTGCATTGCAATGGGTATATATATAATTTGCAATCACTGAGGACTACTGAAGCGTGGCGCTGCAGTAACTTTTATTCGTTAAGTAGCAAAACTGGGCGTGGAAGATGAATGGTATGGAAGAAAAATAGAAAATCCTTCTAGAGAGTAATGCATTTAGCATGACCATTACAATTTTAAGTGGTAATTTTTCAATTTACTTAATAAAAACTTGCTCTGCTAATTTTAAGTGAAGTATATGCGTAGTACATCGCTTAGTTAGTACGCTTAGTATGGCACATAGAGTACACACTACATAATAAATGCATTTTTCTTAATAAATGGCATCATTAAAGAGTGAATACATAATTTGAATACTAATTAGTTATGAAAAATAGATTAATTTAAATTTATTCAAAAGAATAATATTCGTATTTAGCAGACTATAGTTGCCGTGGCCGATTTTCTTTTAATCACTAGTGCTCTATATCTATTTTAAGATGTAAGTTGGAGTTTACAAAAATACTTTATAGTATTTATAGTATGACTACCTATTGGTAAATATATACGTTATGTGATTTGACAGTGTGGCATTTCGGAAAAATGTATTTAACCATGAAGTCTTCCAAATGGGATATACCGATATTCTAAAAGACATACTGGCCGACGATCTAAAAAACTGGTCAGAACGAAATTATATGAATTGGTTTCACTAATTATTGTTCTTCTATATAAAAAGTTTTATTTGGATATGGATATGGGTATGGATATGGATATAAGCAAAGGAAGGCATATGGGGTAGTGCGCCACTAAATGTATGCCAGATGTAGTATTTTATAACGAAAAAATGTCCTATGAGGTAATGGTAATTAATATAATAGGAGATATTATTTTTGTTCGATCATCTTTGTAAAAAATTTAAAAATTTAAGCATAATGCTTCCTGATTATAAATAAATATATATATATATATATATATACATATACATGTATACCTAATAAAATTTTGTTTTGTATATAAACTACTAATGTATTTAGAAACTATCTGACCCATTTTGATTACAATTATATGGTATATAATAAAAGTTTTTAATTTTAGACACAAATTTTATTTTCACTTATCACTTCTTCTGTAGTTTCCCTAAATGCAATTTTTGCATGAGTGATGAAAATATATCCAATCTTTCCATATTTTTATCATTGATCCGCAGATTTAGTGTCTCTTCAATGTTAACTGGACTCTTTTAAAAGCGTTTATCCAATTAATTAACTTATAATTATATCATGCTTTGCTGTATTTAATATCATTTTAATGTCAAAGAAAGATCAGATATTTTATCACAAAAAAATCTACGGTTCTTAAACGTGAGCATGCCAAGATCTGTTTCTGTGGTAAATATCTAGAAAAATGGAGCTTTGTGCCATTTCGATAGAACGAACAATAATGGTTTTAGAAGACTTTTCTACTTTATGTTGTTGTTTATAATGTTACAAAAGGGCATACTTTTGTAGATTGGAAAGATAGTGCCAGAACAATTTGTAAGAGACCGTGCTGCTGAGTCAGACATTCGTCACAATACTGTTTTTTTTCTGTGAGTGCTTCAAGAAGAAAGCCCTTGTCGTAAGCAAAGTTATTGTGCTACTTTATGATCACACCTCGTAGATGATAAATGGGAATTATGATTTCAACAATCATTTTGACTTAATGATTTGAATAATGATTTTCTTCAATAAAGGTTGACTTCGTTTGAAATTGTAAATTTGGTAAGCAACAATTTTAGTTTAATGCGTATTTTTATATTATTTTTTAAATAATATTATTAAATCTTTAATTCAATTTTTTCATTGTTTTCTAAGGTAAGATATTCCATTGTAAATGTGTAGAAACTCATAGGGTAGTACTAAATCCTAGTGGCGTATTCAGTTAGGGTTAGGGGATAGATCCTCCTTATGGCAATCTAGTACATAGCTCAAAAATTTAGTGACCTGTAAAAACACTACAAAAAAAAATGATATTTTCTAGTATAAGTGTAACCCCACTTCGTATAATCCTGACTACGCTACTGTTACTTACTTTTTAATAACATATAAAGGCGTAGATTTAAAAAAAATTTAAGCATTGTGGCATAACATGATTACTTAATATATATATTATATTAACACAATGATATATTATGGCTTAATATGATTTTATTTTCATATTATTTAAATTATTTCAGTTATTTTTAAACATTTTATTTATAAAACTTATCCGCTATATAACGCAGAAAGCAGAAATTGATTCAGCTTAAGTAATTAATAACTTTTAATTAACACTTCTATGCCAGCAATTTTGTATCTACAATCTTCTTGTGGTTTCTTGTGTGCTTTCCAATCTTTTTTAATGATATATTTTTATATGTAGGCAATTTATTTAAAAAATTTTATTTAATAAATTGGAGTTAATTTTTAAATGTTCAAATATTGCATTTTAAGCGCATTACTTATCTATAATATTTTTTTTTGGGTCAAAACTGGCTTAAATGAATTTTTACCAAAAAATTATTACAAAAGTCTTAAGAAATCTCATTAGTTTGATAAAAATAAATTTAATTAAAATTTATTTATTGTAGTTTCTTTTTTTCATTTCAGTTAACACTAGTTGTACATAAAAATTTATATATATATTTTGTAATTTTAACTTGAAAGCATATTACAGCGAATAATAATTTTATAAATAGTTTTTCTCTTTCATATTAAAGGTATCTAAATAATTATTAAATTTCATTTGTTTTAAAAAATTTCATTTAATGCAGATTTTATTTGAAAATACTTTGATTCATACAAAGTCCCCTTATTCTATTATTTATTATATTAAAATTTATACAACATTTTTATAATATCCTAGTTTAATGGTGCAGCAATAGTGGTTCAAAGATAAAGACATTAAAAAAGAAAATGTTACTATTAAATACGAAACACATATGACCCCTCATACAGTTATTATGACCCCTATATAGCATACTAAAGGGCATGTACTAAAACTGTATAACACAGCAAACAATCTTAGTTTAGATGTAGATGAGAAACTCAGTTGAAATATTTAACAACTGAAAACAGATAAAAGAAAGTACTTATGTCAATTTATACCTGTAAACAAGCAACAGTTAAAAAGTAAGGCTTCAATATGTTACCTCTATAACTTAATCATCAAACCGATATAACTCTATGGCGCAACAACTTGGTGGTCATTTCTCGAAAGAACAAGTGAGGCGATATCGATTTAAATAGTGTATGCTTAAGGTCAACTCGAATGAACTGATTCGAGCTAGCAACTAAATAAACTATATATAAATAAAATAAACTATTAATAAATAAACTACTGAACTGAATAAGCAATAAAAATGAATCGCATTAAAAAACAGAACTCCAACATTTTGAAGAAAGTTCAAGATATCGTACAAGACAACGTCAACTATCATATGAGTTCACTAAAATTTATAAGATTATTTAAACAATTTATATTGAAACCAAATGAATGGCAAAATGATTTTTGCGATTTTTACAATCAATATAATATTTACGCAAACGGTTCGTAACTAAATAACAAGGTTAGGCTTGGAACCTTTAAGTGATGTCCTTTAAGTTTTTAAGAATAAAATATTAGACAGACATTTAAAAGAAACTGTTTTAAGATTGTTTATTGACAGTCAAGTAGCTTTAAAATCCTTACACTCACTATATAACAAATCTTAAGTTATAATATCTGATGTTATATAAGATTTATCATGCGCTTATAAGCTCAACTAAAACAATTCTAGGCTATTTGTAAGTCTCGTTATTAATTGTACCTATTTGATTTGGAACTAAGGTCCCGCTTTCAAGTTAGTCAAATCTATCTCTTGCCGATACAAGACGTAATAGATACAATAACGTATTTATCATCTGGAGATCAGAACAGTGTGACTACCATTGTAACTGTACAGTAGACTAACTTGCACGCAAACACACAGCCACGATATCCAACTATATCCATTTTTTTTAGGTATTTAGGTATCAGTCAATATTTGTAAACCATTAAAATATTTTTCTCTACTCCATTACCTACAAATCTAGAAAAGTAGATGTTAAAGATACCGATAGTTATATATGAAAAGCACAAATTTCATAACTCATTATATTCTTTCCTTCATTGTGGTAATAGTCTATTCACACAGCACGAGTTAATCTTTATTCATTAATGAATTAAAAAGTGATGTTGCTGTTTTTAATGCGTTTGTTCTTTTTTGACCTATTTACCAAATGTAAGTTTTAGATATCAGTTTCCTTTTATCGATTTTTACATCTTCATAAATATATATTTTTAAAATTTCTAGTACGTCTTATATCTCTTTGTTGTTACAAAATTGTATTTTAGATCATTTGCTTATTTTTCTCAAACAGCTGATTGCCGATTATAAACAACAAAATTGTCACATGATTGGTGATTTAATCCAGATTTTGAATTTACGATTAACTTATGCGTGTGAATACAATGTTAGCTTCAAAATGAACATTAAAAACATTAAAATTTGATAAACTCAAGATTATATCAATTTACCGATGTATATAGTTGTCAACTTCATTATAAATATTTTCTGTTTTACTGTTTTGTTTAAAAATAATTTATATATACTACAAAATTATAAAATATAAAATTTTTTCAAAATTTTACTCATCTTTTGTTTACAATAACTTTCAATATGGAGCACCAATCACAATAAAATTTTCAGGAAGAGAGTTTCTATCAAACAGAGTTCACGCATATAACGAATCATTGCATTTCCATGTCAAACGCATTGAAAAACGCCGAATACTTATTATACAACCTGATTTTGAATAAGAATCCAGCTTAAGAACATATGTGTACTGCAGTTTAAGGTCTTCTGAGGTAATATATTTTAACTAAGTTTACCATAATTAAATTGTGATGTTCTCTGTAATTTTTAATGACTAAAATGGAAAATATTAAAGTATTTAGCAAGCATTTTAACTACCTCATCTGCTGTTCAGCTCGGATGATCATGCGTTGTTGTAGCTTAACTTCAAGTCTTATTTTTAATGTGGAAATAATCTGCATTTAGGGCTCCGGTAGTATTTTCATACCGCATTAGATCTGCTTAAGCATAAATCCCTTATGCGAAATCATGAAACCGATAATTAAATCTGATCAACAAACTACATATCAAGCTAAGCTTACTCATATATAAAAAGTGTTTAATTCGAAACAAATTTTGTAAGCGGAGCTTTGTTTTCGTTAAGCAAAAAGTGTGTGTGAAGAAATTTATGGTAATAAAGTGGCGGCTTGTGTTTCTTCAGAGTCGCTGATTTTTTATGAACGAGCTAAAAAATTGGTTGTTTCTACAATGCATACAAGTTCACAGACCCATAAGTGAACGTATACGAAATCTCGGCTGTACGTACGGCTTACTTTTGCCAATGCAGCTCAGACAACATGCAAAATTGCAATTCAAAAAGGCGTAAAATTAGTTAGTATCTCAACATTATTCACGTCATATAACTGAGTCTTTTGTTATTCCACTTCATTGTCTTAATGTATAATTTGGTTTTATCTGCAAAATGTGCCGGATATCAAAGAAATAGCAGAAGCAGAAGAATTATTAAATTTGTATGCGCTTCAGCGCACAGTAGTTCTTTGCGCCTCTGCCTCTGCCTCTGCCTCTTTAGGGCAATTGGTTTCATAGTCGCCTTGGAATGTCTAAACATTCGAAAAAAATTATGCAAATCATATTTTGAATTTATTTAAACAAATTAGAAAAAGAAAAACATACAAAATTGCATGCACTCAACTAAAAATGGTTTAATTGAAGTAAAATATAGGTGTATATTGCGATTTTTTAGAACATAAATAAAACCATTAGAAGTTTTGAAAGTAAAACAAAAGAAAGTTATAAAGCAGATGTGGGCCGATATGGTAAACAATGCCTGAATTCCGGGAAAATAACTTCGATTCAAGATTATTTACTTGTTTGTATTACATTCTTTAATGAAATTTAAACGGGAGCAATAATTGGTTCAACTAATTTCAGAAAAAATCATTTTTAACATTAATAGTGATTTATACTCGATTTTTTAAGAGTTATTTTATTTGATGATGATGATTGTCTTTAACTTCTATTGGAGCATAGGACCTCCACAAACATATCCATCTTCTCTTCTTTGGTGATCGCTTGATTTCATTCCAAAATTTGTCAGATTGTTCTATTTTGTAGGCTTCGTTTTAAGGCGACCACGTTTCTGCAGCTTTGAGGGCTTCAGTCTAATTTCATGAGGGCTTGTTGACATATTTCATAATGGATTATGGCCAATCCATTTCAACTTGCAGATTTTTATATTTCAGTAATAATGGTACGAAATTTTTGCGTATAAGTCGTTGTTTGAGATTGTGTTGGGTCACCAAATCTTTAATATATTACGAATGCATCTATTTATGAACACTTACATTTTGTAAATCAGAACCTCTGGCGTTAGCAATGTTTCAGAACTACATAGGAGGACTGATAAAACTTTAGATTGAAATATCCGAATCTAATTCAAACGCAGCCTAATTTTTGTTTATTCGTGACAAAATATACTTACCAGCTATATTTTCTGCAGATATAATGTTTCCTAAATAAACGAAATCATTGATGGCTTCAATATTTTGGTCGTCGACTTGAAAATTTTTTGGAGTTATTGAATTTATCTTTATTGCCTTGGTCTTACTGCAATTTATTTTTAGTGTTATTTTTTTTTTTGATTCGGACTTTATGTCATTAATTTTTCCCTGTATGTAGGAATGTTTTGTAGGGACGCGGCAGATGTCATTCACGCATGTTAAGTTCTCCAGAATTCTACTGTAAGCCCCTTCGGTGCTGATCTATGGGTTTGTTTAGTATGTCATCAACTACTGTGAGAAATAGTATCGATGACAAAGGTTCGAAGGCTTCTTATAGTAGGCTATTGTCTTGAATTACATATAAGTAATTATCATAATGTGCTTTGACAATTAATATAATTTTTTCAGGTAATCCTCTGTTTCTTAGAGACTCCCACATCTTTTCTCTTAACAAACTGTCGAAATCGGTTGTGTAGTCTATAAAAACAGATTTTATTTGCTTATATATATTTTTTACACTCATTGTTTTTTTTTATAAATAAATAATTGGTATAAATATAAATAATTATATTTATAAATAATTGGTAAAAAAAAATTTATATGAACTTTGGTAACCAAGTAACTAAGTCGCTACTAGCTCTGTTGTTGTTTTAAAACTTAAGTAAGTTGTCTTTGTTAATTACTAAATTATATCCGTTTACATAAGTCACTTTTTTTAGCATCAATCAAACCAACAGAATAGTGTTGCAATAATATACATGTATATATATATATATATATATATATATATATATACATTGTTTAGAGTTGATTAGTATTTTTCTTTGTCACATATCCCTTTAGACTTTTCAAAAGGTAGTAAGACTCTTTTTCTCCCATTTTAGAACGGTAGAAAAAGCTTCTTCTTTACTTTACAAATATCGGTGACATTTCGAATTTTATGCAATCACTTTTCGCAGTACAATACAGATCATATATATATATATATATATATATATATATATATCTTTTTCTCCCATTTTAGAACGGTAGAAAAAGCTTCTTCTTTACTTTACAAATATCGGTGACATTTCGAATTTTATGCAATCACTTTTCGCAGTACAATACAGATCATATATATATATATATATATATATATCATATATATATATATATATATATATATATATATATATATATGATCTGTATTGTACTGCGACCGCAAAAAGTGATTGCATAAAATTCGAAATGTCACCGATATTTGTAAAGTAAAGAAGAAGCTTTTTCTACCGTTCTAAAATGGGAGAAAAAGAGTCTTACTACCTTTTGAAAAGTCTAAAGGGATATGTGACAAAGAAAAATACTAATCAACTCTAAACAATGTAGAGTAGAAATTAATTTTAACCTTAGCAGAAAAGATATAAAAATCTATATTAAAATTAAAGACAAATCATGGTAAATTAATATATCATTCAAGAAAATCGGTATGTTTTACTACAACAGATCGCTAAAGCCTTGTCGTATATTTCTTATTCTTCTTATTAATTTGTATATTTCGTATATTCTTCTTATTAATTTGTATTCTTTAACTTAATATTAGTATAATATGTTATCTTATAACATATTTTTTACCGCGACTAGATACCTAGAAAACCTATTATCTGGGAACTGGTATTTTAAATTCCGAATATAATATATATGTATATATATATCTATAAAATTAAATCTACATCAGTTGTTGTATTATTTAATAGAGTTTGAATTAACTCAACAAAAGATGTTAGAAAAGATCGCCCCTTCCTAGTTCGTAAATTTAGTAACAATTATATAATAGGTCTTTTTCATAGTTTAAAACTATTAAAAACTATAGCTCAGACACATATAACAAGTTCTTTTTAAATCTATGTGAAGATTACCTACTTCTGAAAAGAGTAAGGCAGTTATCTTTTGTTTCTTTTATTAGTTATTATTATTTTATTTGGAGACTTGTAATGCGACCTAAAGATCTAATATTCTTCTTCAAAGGACTTAGAGTATTTCTCCAAATATTCTCAATTAATGTAAAGACTACTTTTCATTTATTTTTTCAGTTATTATATTGATAAATTGCCAACATAAAACTGTCTTTCAGAGATCTATTATGTTTGCTTAATGGATTTAAAGCATTTCTCCAAGTCAAACATTTGCTTTAAATTGTAGTATGGAACCTATACTAAAGAGTTTTATTTCATCATCCGATATAAGATGTCCATATAGGTATTACTTTCGCTTGTTCATCAGCAACGAGCAAAACCCCAGCACGTGTTTTTAGTTTTCATTCTCTTTTCTACTAAATCTTTCTTTCCCCAGATTCATGAGGTTTTAGTTTCACTAACATTGCCCTGTTAGAATTCCTATAATGATTAGTAATTTATTGTTGCTTAGTGCATACTATCTTCAAATTGTTTTATATAGTATGTATCTATAAGTGATTTCGATTATGAAATTAGTCCATTGTTTGTTAGTGCAATTGATTACTGATTATTGGTACTTTGGCAATAATTGAAACAGCTATGGGCCTTACGTCCATCCAAAGCGTTGATAAGCCTTCTTTATTTAAATTATTAGCGAATTTGCTAATTTTTCAATAAATTGCTTTTAACCCTCCTATTAAGCATAACAATGCAATATTGTTATCAAATAAAATAAAAAAATTATTAGATTGATTTTCTTTAATTAATTTTAGAGAAGAAAGTAAAGTAGAGAAAAGACGTAAAGTATAACAACAAAAATTTGTATTATTTTAATTAATGCAATTAATTTAATTTTTGTCTGACCATAACAGTTTCGACTATTGCCAAATACCCATCACTAGTGGTATTGGTATTACTTCTTATATTGTTAATTTTTTTTGTCGAAAGTAACGCGTGTTATGATGGAAAGCAACAATTTAAAAGTTAGAGGAGTTTGAATAGAAATGAAAAGACAGCAACAAAATTTTTTTGTTAATTTATTGAAGTTTGGCTGAATATACAACCCTGCATCGGGTATTGTCAAGTACTCATCATCAGTGGTCCTAGAAAATATTCGAATTTTTTAATAAGTTTATATTACTTTTTATATTTAATTATTTGTGAATAATTTTCTAAAACTGCAAGTACCGAGGGTTGAACTTGTGCCCTGCACAAATTTGAAGCTCAGAGTCAGCGTACAATAGCCAACTGACCCAAATCCGTACTTGACTAATTTTATTTTTATTTAATCGATTGTATTTGTTAAATGTTATATTATATTATTGTTGTTTTTATATTATT